AACGTTAACGTTAACGTTTTAACGTTAACGTTAACGTTAACGTTAAGTTAAGTAAGTAAGTAAAGTAACGTAACGTAGTACTACTCTCTCTCTCTCTCTCTCTCTCTCTCTCTCTCTCTCTCTCTCTCTCTATATATATATATATATATATATATATATATATTTTTTTTTTTTTTTTTTTTTTTTTTTTTTTTTTGAGCAATGTCCCCGCACATCATAATGTAATAACTCAAAAGGATACGTATCTCATTTATTATGAGAAACAAATGGAAGTGCACGACTCTGGCATAGATGACAAATGAAACTAAACATTATTAGACTTGGGACTTAGAAATGAGGGTAACAACCCCTTACATCAAGACTCTCCATAAAATCATCATTACAATGACCAAGACGCCGAAGCCAGGCGTCGACCGTGCCTTTATTTGACTTAGACAAATGACTACAGACACCAAGACTGAAGAAGACTTCAAGCTACTTGGAAAGGGTTTTGCTCCCTTCAGATGTAGAAGTTCCCACATTGTTCTCCCTCTACAAATGCCTCCTTCTACATAAATAGGGAGGGAACGAAAACGACAAAAAATTGGAATTATCAACTTACTAAGAAACAGACACAAGATCAAACTTAACGTGGGGAGCAAGACGAGTATTTGGGAGAGATAAGGATGTGAAATGGTGATAAGGAATAAGCTTAGAAAATTTATTCCCATCAACACATGGTTGGCCGCCCCAGAGTCAAGAATACAACGGTCATCATCCGGTTGGCTGATGTTCAAAGTGGAGGAGGTATGATTGAGGCCAAGATGTTGGGTTGTAGGCTATGATGAGTAGTACTAAAGGTATTGTGATCATTCTCTTATATGTGGATGATATTATTATCACAAGAAATACACCAAACCTTAGTGCAAATATCAAGAGATTTCTCCATGACAAGTTTAAAATGAAAGATTCAGGAGAGCTGAGATATTTTCTAGGATTATAAGTAGAGCGAACCTGGAATAAAATCCAATTTTCTCAGCATAAATATGCACTGGATTTATTGGAGCACTGTAATATGTTGAGCTGCAAACCATCAAATACACCTGCAGCACTAAACAAAAGATTGAGAGCTGGTGAAGAAAAATTAATTGATGATCCTAAAAAATACAGAAGCATGGGAGGTGCACTTCAGTATATTACCGTTACTCATTCTGACATTGCATTTGCAGTAAATCAGGGATGCCAATTTATGCATGCTCCTACCAACGTTCACTTGGAAGCATTTAAACGTATAGTCCAATATATCAAAGATACTATCAATTAACACATCAAATATCATACAAATCACATAGAAGATGTGCATGTTGTTTCCATTATTCGATACTTGGATGACGATTGGGTAGGAGATCCTGACTCATGCACATCAGTTTTAGGATATTGTGTTTATTTAGGAAGAAATTTGGTTTCTTGGTGGATCAAGCACAGAAGCTGAATACAGAGCATTGGCTAATGTTGTAGCAGAGATTTACTGGATTTGGAACTTGATTATATCACTCTGATATAAGATGCAGCCCTCAAAAATTTATAGTGATAATCAGAGTGAACTAGCTATCGTAGCTAATCCTATTTTCCATGATCATACTAACACATCAACATTGTTTATCATTTTGTCTGATATGGAAGAAGATGCGATTCAAGTAGAAAATATTGGGACCGAGATTCAAACTGCTGATATCATCACCAAAGGGCTCACAAGTGAAAAGCATCATTTTCTACAGGACAAATGGCACATGTTCAAATGCGATGTACAATTTAAAGGGGCATTATAAGAATATGTACTTAATCGAAAATGAATGACTATAGTCATTTTATATTTTTTCTTTGTAACATGTTGTTATATCATCATAGTCAAGGGCATAATTGAACAATACATATATATACTTAATAAAAAAGCGATGCACTCCCCAAGTAAAATCAAGGGGGGTTTCACATGCTTCTTTCTCTCTCTTTCTCTTCAAGCTTTTATATCAATCCATTCTGTCCTCACCAAATCCATGTCCATAGGTATTGGAGACATTTGGAGTTCAAGACTTCATGTCCCTCATTGCTGGTCGTTTCCTTCAAACAGGCATTCAAAAATATAAAGCATTTATTCATGTTCCAGAGGTAATGGGAGCAACTCGGGAAAAAACTTGCTAATGGAGTCCATGTCATAATCAACGCAATCAATATTCTGTATTCCTTTCCCTAACCAACCAGCATGTACATAACCATTTCTAGATCATAAACTGGATCTTCATTGGCTGCTAGTTGATTGGACAAGATCTTTATCTTTGCTGAACAAATCAGTAACAGATCAAGAATCTCTTTGAACTTTTTGTGTCATCATTCAAAGCACAAGACTGGATGCTTGTAAGTATGAAGAATGAACAATGTCCCACAAATCCTTCATTGAAAGTGGTGGTCATCCAAGAGACTAAGATCTGATCCAAAGGATTACATGCAGTGAATGCCAGATTGTATGTCAAATAAGTTTCTGATTCCTGTAAATTTTGAATATATTCTAGACGCATCGGATCAGTACCATCAAGATGACCATGAGATTTGACCAAGAACGAACAGAAATATGTGGCATTTCCACATGACACAATTTGTGGATCAAGTTTAATGATATGGAGAAGAATAGAGGAGGAAAAAGAAGATTCAAGCAGGAGGGAAAGAATGAGAAGAAAATAAAAGGCTGTCCTTCATTTGCTTTGGATTGTGATGAGCAGGTCACGTGAATGTTACTTCACCTGAAATTGAAAAGCCAGTTCTTTAGGAGGAATGCAGGATGTAAAACAGTATTTTCTTTTTTTTCTTTTTGACGTGAACCGAGAGAAAGAGACAGAGAGAGCATTTTTGGCTAGCTTTTTTTTTTGGTTTTTTGCGATGCGCGTGAAGAGAGAGAAGTTTGACAGAGATTCTGGCTAGGGTTTCAAATGAGGATCATGTGAAAACAGAAAGAGAGTGAAAGAGAGATTTTGCTAGGGGTTTTTAATGGGGATTTCAGAGAGAGAGAGAGAGAGAGAAATGAAACCAGATTTTAGAGAGAAGGGAAGAGAAAAAATGAAGGGTAGAGATTCCCAAGATGCTTACTGGAAGTAGGAACGGATCAGCATTGAGACTTGGATACTCTGCTCTAATACCATGTGAAAATTCCGTCAAAATGAAGAAAAAGAAAATGTTGTGAGATGTTGGAATGGAGAAGTCATCTGGTTGTCCTGCATATATGTATTGGGTTAACAGTAACTTACCCTTATAGCTTTCATGTACATGAGATATTACAATTGAGTAGCTACATGGATAATAGACATAAGAACATCAGATATTATAATTATACGGTCTATGAATGGCAGACATACAACTATGCCAATGCACAAGACAAATACAAAGTATCCATGGCTAATCAAAAGCACTCTCATCACCCTTTGGTGCTTGCACTCCAGACAAGGTAGGTAAGTGAAGACTTGTGGCTGCGCTTAACATGGAAACGGTATACTATCATGTTGTTTGGTACTTCCTTGACAATATTATGTAGAGATAACGTAGGTCTTAGTCTGAGGTGCAGAACCCAGGTTCCCAAATTGCTAATTAGGCAGTGGTAATAGGAGTTTGTGGAGCTCACACAGCATTACACAATGTCTATATTATAAGGAGTAGAGGAAATAGAAGGACATGGACACAGAAGATTTATGGGATCTATACATCAAGGATGTTTGTAAGGCATTTGTGGGTTAGGAAAGACACTGGCTGAACTGGTATGCATACCAAAACAGAATGGGGTTCTTGCGCATGTGTGGCACGATAAAACAGGGAACAGTTTCTAACATAAGAGCTACAAATCCCACAGAAGTATTAAATACCAAGACAAGGCAGAGTCAATTGACCACATCCTTATTCATTGTATGTTTGAGATAGCCATATCATCAGATGCATCCAACATGCAAGGGTTGAGGGTCTATTAAGGTTGATTCTCCAAACCTTTTCCTGAAGTAGAATTATACCATGGAAGATGTTTACCGTTTGTAAAGAACGCAATAAGCTTATATTCAG